CGAACGAGCCTGGGGCGACCAGTGCAGCCGACGGCCATGCGAAAACAAACACAAAACAACAAAACCAAGAGATGGGGCCAGCCGAGGGGCCGAGCGACCAGCGTCACCCAGGGAAGTGACAACCAAACCCTAGAAGTAGATTAGGTTTGCGCCCGCCACAAAAAAAAAACAAAAAGTAATGATTCTTGAAATAGGAAGGCGCTTAAAGTAGATTGGGTTCTGGGAATCCAAAAATACATACTTTCAACGACCGGTGGGTATATGCATATGCTCGCCCCCACACATATCCAAATCCCCTGCGTTTCCTTCAAATGCCGGCTGTATTGAGAGTGTGAATGCAGGCGTTTCGGTATCGAGCAGTACATGGCCGTTGCCAAACGCCAGCAACGTCCACAAGATTGCCAAAGGCACCAGCAATCGGAGTGCAAGCGGCACATCTGGCACACGATATCAACAATACCATGAGCGAGGATGTAGGAGAAAGAGGAGGAGTAGGAGGAGGAGTGGGGAGGAGGAGGACAGTAAGTCTAGGGATGAGGGCAAGGAGAAGGATGCGTGGCATTGCTTTGCATCCCTTGGCTTGGCGTAGCATTGCTTTCAAGTGTTTTCATTTGCATGGCAATGATTTTCTTTGCCTTGCGTTGCTTGGCATTGTTGCGCGTTGGTTGGCATTGCCTTGTTTGGTTCTTCATTGCATTGATTGGCAGTGCTAGGCGTTGCTTGAACATGGTAGACATTGCGGCAGCGATTGGCACTGCAGTGCCATGACGGCATTGCTTGGCATTGCGTTGCTTGGCATCCTTGGCATCACCTAATGCTGCTTGGCGCTGTTTTGCGTCGCTGAGCATTGTGTTGCTTCGCCTTGTTTGGTTTTGCCTTGCAGGGCATTGTATTGCTTTACTTCGTACTGATGTTAATTGGGTTGCTTTGCTGGGCATTGCTTTGCATTGCCTTGCGAGGCGTTGCATAGCTTTGTTTCACATTGAATTGCCTTGCCTTGCTCGGCATTCCTCGGCATTGCTTGGACTTGCTCGGTCTTGCTTGACATTGCATTGGAATGCGTGCAGTTCTTGGCATTGGTTTGCCTAGCAGTCCCTGGCATTGCTTTGAATTTCGCGGCACTGCTTGGCATTACCTGGCATTGCTAGACACTGCATGACATTGCGTTGCATTGACATTGCTTTGCGATGCGTTGTATTGCGTTGCGGTGCCTCGCATTGCTTTATTTCGCGGCAGCGCCTTGCATTGCATTGCGTTGCTGCGCATCGATATCGTTGGCATTGCTGTGCGTTGCCGGCATGGCTTGCAATTGCCCTGCTTCGCCTTAGTTTCCCTTGAGTTGCGTTGCTTATCGTTGATTTGCATTGGCTTGCATTGCTTGGCATTGATTTGCGTTTGTTGGGTGTTGCGTTGCGTGGCGTTGCATGGCATAGCTTGCCACTGCTAGACATTGCGTGTCAACGCTTGGCATTGCGGCATTGCGGGATCGCGATGCACGTCGTCCTCCACGCGGGCGTGATCCCGGACAACACCCTAGGAGCGTATTTGTTCTAATTGCTATCTCTGCCTCATTGGTTTCTCCATCATGGGTGTTATTTGGGTGATCTTTGGTTCCTATTATGTTTTCTTACGCTCTCAACACGGGGTGGCAAACCCATTCCCTCTTCGGGGGGTGCCCTTCTTCCTGGTTTTTTCCTGGCTCCTTCCTTGCGGGGCGGAAACGTGCAACACCCCGGAGTTCCGGGGGAGGCCGTTGGGGTTCCTTTGGGATCCTCCCTCCCTCTTTGGGCTCCGGGGGCAGGAGGTTGTTGCGCCTGATCACCGCGCGACCTCTTCTTGGGCTCTGTACTTGTCTCGCTGTCTGGAGTCCTGATCCTTCGTGGCCGCCACTCTTCTTGGCGTCTCGTAGGGGTTACCCGGATAATCCAGGACAACACTCTAGAAGCTCACTCCTCTCCTGGGAGTCCTTTCCCTGGGGGGTGTTAGCCGTAGCGTGGCCGGGGTCTGGGCTCCCCCCCGTGCCCCTCCTCCTTCTCCTCCTCCTCGTCCCCCCCCCTCCTCCTCCTCCTCCCTCCTCTTTCCTGCCCTCCCCGTGGCACGGGGTTCCCAGGGCTGCCTCGTAACGGTTCACTCCCCCCTCCTGGGCGGGGGCGTTCTTTGATCGGGTTTGTTTTTTTCGTGGCTTCAGTGGGCTCTGAGTTGCGTTTATCTGCACGCGTCTATCCATGAGAGCTTGGAGGCGATTGTGCCCACGGATGTTGTTCCAGGTCTGTTCGGTCATTGTGTCCATCAGGCCGAAGCCTACGTGCTGAGGCTGGGCGGCCTACGTGCCACGGCTTACATGCCGAAAATATGACCGTTCAGGCCGGCCGCCCTTCTTGGGGGTCCATGTTGTTTGATTCTTACATCCGCTAGAATTATTACTGCCCAGAGGGTGAGGGTTTTGGCCCCTGTGCACCGATTAGTACACCCTTCATCCCTCGTCTGCATATGGGTTTGTTTTCTTTGGCCGCCCTGCCTCATCCTCCTTGTGGTCTCGATAGGCGCTCGGTCTTTGTCTATTGCTTCCACCCTGCGGCTTCTTGTACTGGAGGTGGTGGTTGGGCGGCCAATAGGTCTAGCCGTCAACCCTAACAACAACAACATTGCGGCATCGCTTGGCATTGCATTGCTGGCATTGCTTGGCATCCTGCTGATTAGCAGTGTTTGGTATTAGCTATCAGTTCTTGGCATTGTCTTGCGTCGCTTGGCATTGTCTTGAAGTGCATTGCTTGGCACTGTTGAATTGCATTGTTTTGTTTGGCAGTGATGCCGGTTGCCTTGCTTGGCATCGCCTGGCGGTGCTCGGCATTGCTTGACATTGCTTGGCGTTGCTCGGAAATGCTTGGATTTGCTTGGCATTGCATTGAATTGGGTGTGTTGTTCCGCTCTGCGTTGCTTTGCGTTCCCAGGCACTGCCTAGCCGTGCTTGACATTGCGTGCCATCGTGTTGCCTTGCCTGACATAGCGTTGCACTGATTGGCATGGCCCTGCGTTGCTGCGGAGTGTTTTGAATTCGATTGCGCTGCGTTGTTCGGCATTGCTTTTTGCGTGGCAGGATATTCATTGATTTGCTTTGCTTTGCCTGGCATTGCTCTGCATCGCCTTGCATTGTTTTGCATTGCTGTGCCTCGTGCGGTACGTCCCAATGCAAAGCATGGACACGGGCACAGACACGGCCTGCGTCATGCACCGCGCGGGTGCTGCAGGGTGGGGCCGAAGCGCCCATGAAGGCCAGTTTCCTGCAGACAGCACACAGCAATGCAACACAATGCCAACCAGTGTCAGGCGATGCCAAGCACCACCAGGGATTGCCAAGCAAGGCAAAGCCACGCAATGCACCAAATTCAAAGAAATGCCCAACACATCCAAACAATTCCAAGCATTGCAAAGCAATGACGAACAATGCCAAACGATGCCAAGACAAGCAACGGCAGTCAACGAGAGGCATCGCGAAGGTAATGCAACTCAACGCAGCGAACATAATCCACTGCCAAACAAAGCAACGCAACAGCGCCAAACAGAGCAAAGAGAGGCAATGCCAAGCAACGAGGGACAACGCCAAGCAATGCTGGAGAATGCCAAGCAATACCAAGTAACGCAATGCCAAGCATTGCAAGCAATACAATGCCAAGCAACGCCGCAAGCCAAGCGTTCACACGCAATGCCTAGCAGTGGCAACTACTTCAGCGCACGCCAAGCAAAGCAATGACAACTGACGCAAAGCAAATGTCAAGCAATGCAAGCCTGTGTAGATCAATGCCAAGCAACGCAATCCAATGGAACCTAAGGCGAAGCAGAGCAATGAAAAGTAACGCAAGACTGCGACACACAACACCAAGCAACGCAAGGCCGTGGACATCGATGCGAAGCAACACACTGAAGTGCAATACATTCCCCAAAGATGCAACGTAAAGCAGTGCCACGCAACGCAACCTAAAGTAAAGTATTGCAAGGCAATGCCAAGACAATGCAACGTCAAGCAATGACGAGCAATATTAAGCAATGCCAGACGCGGCAAATCAATGCCATGCAAAGCGACGCCAACACATTCACACAATTCAATGCCACGTCAAGGAAGACACATTATGTCCTAGCAATGCTAAGCAGTGCTAAGCAAGGCAAGGCAAAACACTGCGAAGAAGGGCACACACACACACACACGTGCAAAGCCATGCAAGGCAAGGCAACACACTGCACGACAAACCAACTCACTGGAAATCAGTACGGAGCAAAACTAAGCAACGCAATGCAATGCAAAACCAAGCAAAGCGAAGCAAAGCAAGGCCAAGCAATGTAATGCAACAACCCAATGCCAAGCACCGCAATGCCAAGCTATGTCAAGCAACGTAATGCCAAACAGTGCAGGCAATGCCCGCAATACAATGAAATGCCATGCAATGCAATGCCAAGCGCTGCCGCAAAGCCTACCATTGACAAGCAATGTCAGGCAGTGTCGAGCAATGGCAAACACTGCTTGGCAAAGCAACGCACCGCAAAGCATTGCCGAGCAAATGAAAACCGATGAATCCAGTGCCACGCAAAACAATCCCAAGCAATACGTGGCAATGCAGAGCAATGATGCCAAGCCAGCCAAGCACTGCAGAGCAATGCCAAGCATCTTCCTCCTCTCCCTCCTCCTAATCCTCTCCATCCTGCTCCTCACTCCTCCTCCTCCTCCAGCTCCTCCTCCAGCTCCCGAATCAAGCTCATTACGCTTCTCAGCCATGCCCTCCGGCTTGGAGAGGAGAGAGGACGGGCTCGGAGGGGAGAGAGCGGGAGCGCGGGAGAGCGGGAGGGGAGGAGCGCGGGAGCGCGGGAGGGGCGGGAGAGCGGGAGCGCGGGAGGGGCGGGAGAGCGGAGAGGGGTGGAGCGGGAGGGCGGGAGAGCGGGAGGGCGGAGGAGCGCGGGCGGGCGGAGGAGCGCGGGGGAGCGGGAGAGCGCGGGGGCCCTCTCGGCTCCTCGTTGCTGGCGCGGTCGGACACGAGGACCTCGGCTCTGGCGGCCGCCCGCTTAGGGCCGCGGCCCTCTGGCCGTGGGCGAGCCGGCCGCGCACGGCCAGGCCGCGATCCCTCGCCGCCCCTCTCCTCCTCCTCCTCCTTCTCCTCCTCCTTTTCTTCCTCTTCTTCTTATGATTTTTTTGTTTTTCTTCTTCTTCTTTTTCTTCTTCTTATTGTTATTATTCTTCTTATTATTCTGTTTCGTATTATTCTTCTTATTCGTATTCTTCTTCTTATTATTATTATGAGTATTCGTATTATTATTATTATTATCATTATTATTATCATTATTATTATTAGTATTATTATTATTATTACTATTATTATTATTATTCGTCTTCTTCTTCTTCTTCCCCCTCCTCCTCCTCCTCCTCCTCCTCCTCTTCCTCCTCCTCCTCCTCCTCCTCCTCCTCCTCCTCCTCCTCCTCCTCCTCGGCAGGAGCACACGCGCCGGTGCACCATCGGGGAGAGCTCCCTCGGGGGCTTCGCCGCCCAGGCTCGGGAGTCGCCAGGGGCGGCCCCCGGCCCCAGGGGTCCCCTGGCGGGCCTGGCTTCCACCACCGCCACCACCACAAGCTGGAGGGGGGGAAGGAGGTGGAGGAAGAGGGCGAGGGCGAAAAAGAGGAGGAGGAGGAGGAGGAGGAGGAGGACCCCCCCTCCCCCTCCTACTTATGGTGGTGGTGGGGTGGTGGAAGACAGGCCCACCATCCCCAGCTTCTCGCGCCGCTGTGGAGCCCATGGGGGCCCTCTGGCCCGCGTGCGGGGTGCTCTGGAGGCCATCGGCATCGCCACAGGCTGGCCGGCCGGTGGGCTGAGCTGCCGCGCCTTTCGCGCGCGAGGGCGGAAGTGCTGGACGCTCTGGTGGCGTCCGGCGGGGGCGCGGCGTTAACGCCGCGGGAAGCGCAAGGGCCCCCCCCACGCTCGCCGACGAGGCCTTTTTCATTCCCTGCCCCAGCCGAGACCCTCTCGCAGTGGCAGTGAAGAACCACGACGGCTTGTGTGGGCTGACTGTTTCGGCCTCCGCGGGCCCTCACCAGGCCCCCGCACGTCCAAAATGCGCCTTGGGATGACAAGCCGGTCCCATGGAAGGGGTCTATAGGCCTCTTGGGGCCCGCTGTGTGAAAACATCACGACGTTGAAGATCTGGGAGAGCTCCCGACCCTTCCCTGGGAGTAGCCTCCCATCCCTGATCCATCCGCGACTGTCCAGTGGGCCCGAGAAGACGAACCTCGGAGGCCGAAATTCAAGAACGAGCGCCAGGATTGAAGAAGCAACATCCCATAAGATGTCTCCGGGGGTCTAGCCGAGCAGATGGGATCGGAGGATCGCACCGCACATCTGATGCATCGCCGATGCATCGGCTACGTCGGCGATTCATCGGCAACGTCGGCGTGGAGAACATCGGACTCCACATCGAGACGCATCGACGCTGAATCTGCGATGCGGCGTGATCCTCCAACCCCACATGCTCCTCTGTAGCCTCCTGCTCCTTCTGCTGCTCCTCCTGCTCCTCCTCCTGCATCTCCCCCATGCCCCTCCCCCTCCCCCTCCCCCTCCCCCTCCCCCTCCTCCCCTCCTCCTCCTCCTCCTCCTCCCCTCCTCCTCCTCCTCCTCCTCCTCTCTCCTCCTCCTCCTCCTCCTCCTCCTCCTCCTCCTCCTCCTCCTCCTCCTCCTCCTCCTCCTCCTCCTCCTCCTGCTACCGCCCCTCCTGCGCCTCCCCCATCCCTCCTCCGCCTCCTTCTCCTCCCTCGCTCCGCCCTCCTGCTCCTCCTTCCCCTGCACCTCCTCCTGCAGCCCCTCTTCCTCTTCGCTTCTCCACCAGCAACAGCCACGACGAATCGTTCGCAACACGACGGGCCCACAGCAGCTGCATGCCTCGAAGAGGGTATAAGCCGAGGGGGCCAGCGAAGAAAAAAACATGCTTCCCAATCAAGGAAGCGGAACCGAGCCCGGCATTTTCCGTCAGGCACGGCCCCCATCTCTCCGCCGCTCCCGGGCGGGAGGAGGAAGAGGTCTCATCCTTCTCCGGACGTCGTCCTCCTCCGCCGTTTCCTCCTCCTCCGCCATCCTCCTTCCCCTTATTCTCCCCGTCGCTTCCTCCTGTCCTCTATCCTCCATCCTTCCTCTATCCCCGTCCTCCCCGCCCCCCCTCTATTATCCTCCCTCTCTCTATCCTCTACATATCCTCCTCCCTCTGCCCTCCTCCATCCTCTATCCTTCCTCTGCCTTCCTTACTTCCCTCTCCCCTCTCCTCTGCCCCTCCTCTGCCCTCTATGTCCTCTATGTCCTCCTCCCTCCGCCCTCCTCCGCCCGCCTCCCCGCCGCGCCTCCCCCGGGCGCGGGCGCGCCGAGGCCGCGGCGCACACGTGCGCCTCGCCCTCCGGCGCCCTCCCGCCGCCCGCCGGGTACTCGAGCAGCTGCAGCGCGGCCCCCGCCTTCCTCGACGCGCGCGCCCGCGGGGGGGGGGGGACGAAGGGGGCAGGAGGACGAGGAGGGGGAGCGAGGGGGACGGAGGAGACGAGGAGGGCAGGAGGACGAGGAGGGCGAGGAGGGAGGGACGACACGGGAGGACGGGGAGGGCGGGAGGAGCAGAATGGGGAGGGCTGGCAGGACGAGGGAACCGAACTCCATACACCGAAGCCTTTCCCGGCCCTGCGCTGGAATTCGCACAGGGACGCGGATTCTGGCGTGTACGGGATCCTGGTGTACACATCTTCCGTTGCGTTCCCAGGGCATCGGGGAAACAAGTATACACCACACCACCCCGACGTCGCCCCCGACCCTAAAACATTCCTGGGTTTGCAAAACAGCCCGCCACTGGTAACGTAGTTACGCTCCAATTTCCGACTAGAGGAAGCCGGAACGACACGGAACGAGAAGCTCCTGGATCATGAATTCAGCATCGTGACGGGTGTGCGACACTCGGCGTAACACACGGGTGAAGAGGACGATGCTGGCTTGTGGAAGGTGCGTGCACACAGGCGGGCCAGCGCGGCCCAAATGGTCTCTTCACGGGCATCTCGATCGAGCGTGGGACGGACGGTGGAAACCCGCACGCGCCAGCTGGCAACCGTTCCAGCCGCCGACGGCAAAAGAGAAAGAGAGAGAGAGAGAGAGACCCAGCTTTCCGAATAGTCGATGTTTCAGTCTGCGGCAATTGAGGGCTTCGAAGCCTTCCATGAGAGCGGTCTATTCTTGATGGTCCTGTGGCACCGAACGAGCGAAGGCCAGAGTCGTGCGCGCTGCGCTAGGGAGCCCGCCCGTGCCTGGGGCATAGGGGTGGAGGCCGTAGCCTCGAGTAACAAATGTGATGCTCCCGCCCGTCGCTTCGGCGAGGCGAGCCTGCCGAGACACGAATGACTTACCTGGGGCACCGAAACCAGACCTCGGGGCCGCGGAGACCGCACAAATCGGCAGTGGACAAACCTCCCTTTTAGCAAATCTCCCCTTAGTGCAAGCGGCCTCCTAGTGTTTTTCGATGTTTTTTGCTTTTCCGCCTTTTCGGCTTCCCGACGCTCCAAGACGGCCAAAGAGGCCCCCAAGAAAGCCCCAAGATGGCCCAAGAGGCCCCCAAGACGGCCTCCAGACGGCCCAAGACGGCCCCAACACGGCCCAAGAGGTCCCCAAGACAGCCCAAGAGGGCTCCAAGACGGCACCAAGAGGGGCCCAAGAGGGCGACCAAACATGTTGAAACTCTAGCTTTCTGCCCCCAGGAGCCCCAGGGGGCCCCAAGAGTGCCCCAAGAGGCCCCCAGAGGCCCTCACGAGGCCGCCCAGACGCCCCAAGGAACCCCCAAGAAGCACCCCAGAGGCTCCGAAACGGCCCCCAAGTGGCTCCAAAACTCGCTTTTCACCCCTTCGCAGCTTCTACTACCCCCAGATTGGCATAAACAAGGGGTCGGCGGTGTGGCGTAAGCCTAAGAATCTCCCCTTAGTGCAAGCGGCCTCCTAAGGACCGACGCCGAGGGCCCTGGATCCGCAAACGAATGACGGCCGCGATGCCCTCTCGCGAACCGAAAACGGCCAATTCCTGAATCGACGCGTCAGGGTAGGAGGTCTATCAGCCCCCGAACCAAGGAACCAAAACACGCCGGATTGGGAAATCCGGCCTGCCCGAAGCCTGGGGCTACCGCTGCCGCCTCCTCCCCACCCTCTCTGCGTGCCCGGAGGCCCCCCCACGTGCGGTCCGAGGAGCACTTTCCTGGGGCGGAGGGCTCCGGGTGAAATCCATCTGGGCTCTGGCGCCTCGAAGATATCAGTCCGTCCCGTGACTCACCTGACATCCAAGCCTCGACAAGGCAATCGAAACGGCATTCCAGACCTCACCCTCTGCCCCCCACGCAGAAAGAACATGCTCGGGGTCCGAGGCACCGTACGGGATCGCAGGATCGAGCCGTGTGGCCGGTGCATCGGCAACGTCGGCGCGGAGCGCATCGGGCTCCACGACGAGCTGCATCGACGATGCATCGGCGATGCGGCGTGGCTCCCTCGACCCCACCGGCTGGGATCCCGGCCAGGAGGCCTCAAGCTGCCTCTCCGGGTGCGCCGAAGAAGGGCCCCAGGGGAGGGGGGGAGGTCAGCGCACCATGGCCCGGAGCACGTGCGCAAACGGAGGAGGTCATGGCCACGACCCATGATGTCCGCCCTCCCCTGGCTCTCCACCCCCCAGTCCACGCCCCCGGTGCCTGCCTGCCCCCCCCCCCCCCGCGCTCTGCCCAGGGCTTCCCCTGGGCCCGCTGGCGTGCCTCCCGCCTTGCCTCCGCCAGCGTGGCGTCGGCACACCGGCTGGCCACACAGCCTCTCCCCCACCCCCCTCCTTCACACTCCTCCCTCCTCCCCCTGCCACCTCCTCCCCCTCCCTCCTCCTCCTGCTCCACCTCCCTCTCAGTCCTCGGTGCTCGACCCTCGAGGTTCGAGTATCGCGGATCGGGGCCGTGCTTGCCCCTCCTTTCTGCCTCCAAAGGCCACCCGAGGCATCCCGCGAGCTCAAGGGTTCCCTCCTTTTCTCCGTCCCTTCCTCTTCCTCCTCCTCCTTCCCCTCCTCCTCCTCCTCCTCCTCCTCCTCCTCCTCCTCCTCCTCCTCCTCCTCCCACTCCTCCTCGTCCTCCTCTTCCTCCTCCTCCTCCTCTTCCTCTTCCTCCTCCTCCTCCTCCCATGCATCACATCTGGTTCGTTCACTGAACAAGATCGAAGAAAAGCAAATAGGATCGGAGCAACCGGTAGACAAGATAAAAACAGAGGGCATCAGAAAGACGCCCAGACGTAAGAACCGTGGCTCTCCCCCACCTCCTCCCACACCACATCATCGCCTCCTCCTCTTTCCAATCCGCCTCTTCATCCGCCTCTCCTCCTCCTCCTCCTTCTCCTCCTCCTCCTCCTCCTCCTCCTCCTCCTCCTTCTCTTCATCCTCGCCTCCCCTCTCCAAGACCACAAACTCCTGCCCCTCCGCCCCCATTCCTGTCTCCTCCTTTCTCCTCCATCTTCCTGCTACCCCTCTCTCCTTCTTGCCTCCTCCCTCCTCCCTCGTCCCCGGTGCGCCTCAAGGTTCATCCCAGGGCGCGCTCCGTCCCACCTCCCGACGGGAATCCATCCGTGGCGACAGAACGCCCCCCGGGAGGCAGAGACCACCAAGACGTCCAAAAACCTCCTCGACCCTCGGCACAAGAGAGCCACGCCGTCCCCTCCACCTCATCCCTGGCCGCGGCCGCCGTCGCCATCGCCGCCGTCGTCGTCGGCGTCGGCGTCGTCGTCGTCGTCGTCGTCGTCGGCGCCGTCGTCAACGGCAAAGTCGCCGTCGACGTCGTCGTCGCGTCGTCGGCGTCCAAGGGCATCCTGGCGCGCTCCAGGACCTTGCTGGGGCCGCGGGCGACGAAGTACGGGCACGGGGTCACCGAGACCACCAGCCCAAGGTCCTCCAGCTGCCCCGCGAACCTGGGCAGGTGTGCGGCAGATCCAGACCAATCGCCCAGATCTCGAAGATCGAGTTTCGAGGGCGGCTTCTGTCCTCCTCCTCCTCCTCCTCCTCCTCCTTCTCCTCCTCCTCCCTCCTACCCTCCTATTCCTCCTTTCCTGTTCCTCATGGAGAACTCCTCCCTGTGGCACCCCGAGGCTGGTCGAAAGGGCGGGCCGGGCGTTTCGCCTGAGACTTCCTTACCATTCATGACCCTGATGCTAAACAACTTGCATGGGCTTCATGGATTTCACCATGTGGCTCTCGTCCTAGCGCCGCGCGCATTCTTTTGAACAGTCTGCCAGAGTCTCACGGGCTGAGGGCGGCTGGATTTCTGAGTGTGGCTCTCGCCTCAGCGCCGCGAGCATTTTCTGACAGTTGGCAAGAATTTCACGGATTGAGGGCGGGTGGATTTCAAAACGTGTCTCTCGCCCGGCGCCGCGCGCATTCGGTTTTAACATTGGCAAGAGTTTCACGGATGGAGAGCGGGTGGGTTTCTAAGTGTGTGTTTCTCGCCTTGGAGGCGTGCAGATTTGTTCCAAACAATCCACGAGTTTCACAGATTGAGGGCGGGTGGTTTTCAACATGTGGCTCTCGCATTCGCGCCGCGCGCATTCGCTTGAAATGTGTGCCATCATTTCGCGGATTGAGGGCGGTTCCATTTCAAAATGTTGCTTCCGCCTTAGTCACTAGCGCCGCGCGCATTTGCTATATTCATTCAGTTGCACAAGTTTCACTTCACTGGCTCGAATGGCTCACATACCGAAAATGGTGTTTGGAACGGTTCAGACTTGTCAGGGCGCAACAGTTACGTTGATTCGCCGTATTGAAATCCCAGGAACAGCATTCTGTCACGACTCAGAATCGCAGCGACGTAACTGTCAGTTTAACTCGTGGCGTCGAACTCCTGCACATGATACTTAAGAACGCTTCAGGATGCTTACACGGTTGTCCCCCAACTGGGCGATTCCCTCAGTGGAAACGACCCCTTGCAGGGGCCTATGAAAAGAAACCTTGGAGAGAGAGTGGATACCAACACCGTTGATGAGTCTTGGGTTTGCGCTGGTCCTCCTCATCCTCCTCATTCTCCTCGTCCTCCGTCCTCCGTCCTCCTCCTCCTCCTCCTCCTCCTCCTCCTCCTCCTCCTCCTCCTCCTCTTTCCCCTCAACCCTCCTCCTCCGCCTCCTCCTCCTCCTTCTCCTCCTCCTGCGCCTCCTCATCCTCCTCCTCCTCCTCCTCCGTCCTCCGTCCTCCGTCCTCCCTCCTCCTCCTCCCTCCTCCTCTCTCCTCCTCCTCCTCCTCCTCCTCCTCCTCCTCCTCCTCCTCCTCCTCCTCCTCCTCCTCCTCCTCCTCCTCCTCCTCCTCCTCCTCCTCTTCCCCCTGCGCATCCTCCTCCTGCTCCTCCTCCTCCATCCTCCTCTACCTCCAGCTCTCTCTCTCCCTCCTGCTTCGCCTCGCCCCCGTCCCCAAGGGCCGCGGTGCGGCCGCGGCGGCCGCACCGCCGCCGCGGCGCCACCGCGCGGAGGGCACGAGAGGTGGAGGCCGGGGGCCCGTGGGAGCGCCAGCGGGGAGGACGGCCACCTACCAAGCCACCCCAACCCAACCCGAAGGCCTCACTTTGCCGTCCATGTCCAGTGGGGGGGGAGGAGGAGGAGGAGGAGGAGGAGGAGGAGGAGGAGGAGGAGGAGGAGGAGGAGGAGGAGGAGGAGGAGGAGGAGGAGGAGCATCGAAAAAGCACGCATGGAGCCCATACCCCCCCCCCACCCACCCCGAAATTCGGGCCTTCGGGTCGGGTTGAGCTGGTCTGGTAGGCAGTCAGAGGAAGTGGAAACGGCCAGAGTGGGCTCCCGCGCGGCAGCTGCCTGCAGAGATCTCCGGCCGGGGAGGCCACCGGCTCGATTATACTCAGAGCGGAGGCCCGTGTCGAGTCCCCGGTCAGGCCCGAGCAAGTGGGGCTCGAGGATCGCACCGCATCGCCGATGCATCGACGGCGTCGGCGATGCATCGGCAATGTCGGCGCGGAGAACATCTGGCTCCACATGGAGCCGCATCGCCGATGACTCGGCGATGCGGCGCGACCGTCCGATCCCACCTGCTCGGACCCCGTCTGGGAGGCCTTTATCGAAGCACTGGCCCCATGACCTCCCGACGTTGGGGCCGGATTGTCGCCCCAAGGCAAGAGGGCGGAAGACTATACAGTATGGTGCCTGGGACACCTCGATCTGTCCGTCCGCCACGCGCTCAGCGCAGCCTGCATTCACTGAAGGGGCCTTGGGACACACAAACAAGCAGGCACAACTAACCGGATTCCCCACACCTTCCCATACTTTCGGGGCCTCTGCCTCCCCCCCCACACTGATCGACGATTCATTGTGTCTGTGTGTGTTTTTGTTCCCTCCTGAGCGATCCTCCTCCCTGCCCAGTGCCTCGGCCTACTGATTGACTCCTCCTCGTCGTGCCGTCAGGCGTGTCGGGAGAGCGGACTGGGCGTCTCCGCCTGCGACATCCTCACGGATCAGCGTTCACGGATGGGGGGCTGGCCTCTTCAAAACGCGGCCCTCGCCAGCTGCGCCTCGCACAGTCGTTTGGAACGCTCGCAGTTGTTTTGTTCCCTCCTGCTTCAAAACGTGGCCCTCGCCCGTTGCGCCCCGCACAGTCGTTTGGAACGCTCGCAGTTGTTTTGTTCCCTCCTGCTTCAAAACGTGGCCCTCGCCCGTTGCGCCTCGCACAGTCGTTTGGAACGCTCGCAGTTTTTGTGTGTTCCCTCCTGCTTCACGAGGCGTCGCGGGCATAGCCTTATGTCGGGCCTGTCCCCCTACAGGAGGATTTTCGACGAAAAATAAAACATGCCACGAAAATAGTCCAAACATATTCCAACAAAAAGTCTGGGGACATTTTTTAGTTGTTGTATTGTTTGAACTTTTTTGGGGTACTGTTGGGGTATTTGTCTATTTTTCGTCGAAGTTCCCCCTTGTAGGGGGACACGCCCGACAGAAGCATAGCCCGGCGGACCAGCCCCCGCCCAGAGCACACGGCGGCGGCCCGGGGCCAAAACGGCTCGACGCCGGCGGGGCGGGGCGGCGCGGCTCCCTCCTGCTCGCGGGCGCAGCGGCAGACGCCCGCGCGAGCAACCAAGGCTCGAGTAAGGGGGGTCGACTACAGAATTGATTCACCCCCGAGTGGATTTTCTCGTCGGATCCATGGGAAATGCGTAGAACGTTCGTAGACCTACCAAGCATCCTACGTCTGACTCGACGAGAGAATCAATTCTGGGGCAAATCAATTCTGTAGACGATCCCGTACTCCAAAGACGCACAGTGCCGCCCCGAGGCGCGGTCGCGACGTCGGAGAGAACGCGTGTCACGGGCGCTCGCCTTGGGAACATTCGGCGGCGCGTTTCGAACCGGGGGGTGGGTCCCCCCCGCCCTCTGTCACGGGAGGAGGGGGGGGGAGGGGGGTTCGAACACCCCCCCTCCTCCATCTGGGGGGGCGGGTCCGGTTCCAACCCCCCCCCCCCTCCGGGCGACCACGGAACGCGCTCTTTCCGACATCGGGAGAACAGGTCACCACAGCGCCGCGGAGCAATAGGAAAACGCCCCCAAGCGCGCCGCGATTCGCGGCTCATGGAGGCAGGCCGCGGCAAGCGGGGCAAGAGCGGCCCGAGTGGTCCAGGTAACGCCAGTTGGCACCAAGAAGCGGAGGCGGGCGCAGCTGGCGGCATCAATGCTTCGCGGGCCGTGGGCGCCGACGGCACTTCGGGACCGCGGCTCCCCGCGCGAGCGCAAAGACAGGCAGGTGCTCAGGGGGCCTAGCGCCCGCCCGCGGCCCATGCATCTCCGCAGCATAAAACCGCCGCCTGGGCCAACCGCACCTCGGCAGGGCGAACGGCCAGGGCCGCGGCCCAACCCGCCCAACCCGCGCAGTCCCAATCGGCTTGGATCTGCGGCGACGCGTCACGGGTTCCACACCGAACGCGCCAGTTTGCCGCCCGCTTAAGTACGCCGAACTGCAGCGCGGGCACTCGCGCCGGTCACCAACAGACGACTACGACAAGAAAGCGGGCAATATCCCACATGGCTGCTGCGGAGGCTGCGCGGATGCGCTGGCGGCAACGCCATAACCGACCACCAGGGCCAAACTACTGAGTGGCCGTTTTTCTCGAGGGGATACAACGGTGCAGTGGAAAAACCAAAACACGGGGCCGCTTCGAACCGCTCATTATCGCTCGCTAGCACGGGTTGGTCGTCGGTGTTGATGCGGAATCGCGCACCCCCATGTAAGTCTGCGAGCCGCGTTCGGGCCCTCGCGCGCAAGCCAAATTGCTACGAGCGTGCGCAAGGGGGGGGCACGCGGTGGACTGTCAGGACCCAGCAGGCGCGCAGGCCTGCGGGCCAGCATCGACGTTCTGTACAGTCTCTGTGGCGTGCGAGTGGCCCCATTGTTGTATCTCGCGGCGTGGCGACTAGGGGAACAACAGTGACATAAACATAAAAACTCGGAGGTGGGGGGGCCCCAGCGCCGATCCGAGAAATCCGCGCGGACCTCCAAGTTCCTATGTTTATGCCACTTGTTGTTCCTCTAGCGACGCACTCAAGCCGTCTGCATGTCCGACGCCGCGTCCCCGAGGCTGGCGGCCGCGCTGCCCCTGCGTCGCTGCCGGCAGGCGTGGAGGGCGGCACCGCCTCCCCGGCAGGTCCGCCCGAGGGCCACCTCCCTGGCTCCAGACTCCGCCCCCCGGCGCCCCTCGCAAGGGGAGGGCATTCCCAGGACGGAGCCTCCCCCACCAATCCGCGGCGGCCGCCCAGCCTCCCTGGCTCCCCGTTCACAAAATACTGCTTTCCTGTGTGATTACAACAGGGATGACTATATGTAGAAGACGCATTTTTTTTCTTGAGTTCAGCTTCTTCGTTTTTTTTCGGAGGAACAACTATGTAGAAAAATTGCCGGGTGCCTCCTCATCCCCCTCATCCTCCTCCTCCTCCTCCTTTTCTACCTCCTCCTCTTCCTCCTCCTCCTCCTCTATCTCCTCCTCCTCCTCCTCCTCCTCCTCCTCCTCCTCCTCCTCCTGTCATCGGTTCACCCTCCTCCTCCCCTCCTCCCCCTCCTCACCCCCCTCCTCTTCCTCGTCCTCCTTCCTTCCTCCTCCGCCTCTCCTGCCTCCTCCTCCTCCTCATCATCATCATTCTCATCATCATCATCATACATCATCATTCCTCATCATCATCATCATACTCATGATCATGATAATGATCTCATCATCATCATCATCATGACATCATCATCATCATCTCATCATCATCATCATGCATCATCATCATCATCTATCATCATCATCATCACCCTCCTCGTCCTCGTCCGTTCTCCTCCTCCTCCTCCCCTCCATCCTCTCCCCTCCTCCTGTCTCCTCTTCCTCTCCTCCTCCTCCTGTTCCTCATCTATTCATCATCTTCCTCACCCCACATCCTCCTCTCCTCCTCTCCTCCCTCCTCCTCCTCCCTCCTCCGCTCCTCCTTCCCTCCTCCTCCTCCTCCTCCTCCTCATAATCATCATCATCATCATCATATACATCAGTTCATCATCATCAGCAAGTCATCATCATCATTTCATCATCATCAATCATCATCATCTTCCTAGCCCACTATTTCCTCCTTCTCGTCCTCATCCCTCCCTTCCCTCTCATCCTCACTCCTCCTCCTACTCCTCCTCTCTCTCTCTGCTCCGCCTCATCCTCCCCCCGTTCGCCTCGCCCCCCCTGGCCGTCCTCCCCCTGCTTTTTCTCCCCCTGGCCGTCCTCCCCCTGCTTTTTCTCCCCCGTCCCCCTCCCTCTCCTCATCCGCCTCCTCCTCCTCGTCCTCGTCCTTCTCCACCCCTTCCCCGGTGGCGCCGCCGGGCGCCGCAACGCCGGGCACCCACCGCGCGGAACAGGAGGAGGGCGTTCGTCGTCAAGTTTCGACATTGGGCAGTCTCCCGCCGAGGTCGGGCTCCCCCCCCGGGGTCGTTTTCGGCCCACCCCGGCCGTCAGAAGCGAATCTTGGGACGACAAGTTGCGCGCAGGGGGGCAGGAGTCGCCCCGAAGGCTCACTGGAGGCCAGAACCATGACCCGAAATCCGACCGGGCAGGTTGTTTCCCTGACCTCTTACGTCTGGAACACAAAGACCAAAGGTCAAGGCGGGAATGAATCGCCCCTCTCGAACTTGTGGAGGCCATTCCCGAGACCATCAGAAAAACGGCTGGGGATGTCAAGCTGGTGTGCGGGAAGTGGTCGAAAGCTCCAGGGGGGCCACCCCATGGCAAACTCACGACGTCGGAGGTCTGGGCTGTTCGGCCGGCGGGCAGGCCTGGGCGCGCTTGCGGGCATGTTGGGGTGGGTGGGCCCGCGCGGGTTGGCGGGCAGGTTCCGGGGCTCGCTGGAGGTTATCGACTCACTTCTGGCCCTGGACTGTCTTCTGGCAGCCGCGCCCCGTCGAGGGCCGGTGAAGACGCTGGGATCGCCCCGACTGGCCCTCCCTGGTCCTGGCCCGACTCCCCCCTCCCGCATCGCGCCCCCTCCTCCGCCTCCTCCTCCTCCTCTCCTCGCCCCTCCTCCTCTCCTCCTCTTCCTCCTCCTCCTCCTCCTCCTCCTCCTCCTCCTCCTCCCCTCCCTTGCTTCCCCCTCCTTGCTTTCCCAGCCCATCCCCCAGTGCTATCCCTCCTTGTCATCCGCACTCCCCCCCCCGCCCTGCACTCACGCTGCGCGAACTCCGCCTCCGGCAGAGGTGCGCTCCCGCTGCGCGGGTCCGAGAGGAAGCGCGGGGCACCGCGGGATCGCGGCCCTCTCCCTACACCAACCGCGCAGGCACTGCTTGCTCTTCCAAGGAGGCACCGCCAGACCGCGGCAGTTCTCGGAACACCTCGCGCTTTACCAAGTGTCGGCGGTGGACAAACCTCCCTTTAGTACACCTCCCTTAAGTGAAAACGGCCTAGAAGCCAAACCGACGGACCTGGACCCGCAAAAATAACAGCCGCGACGCCCTCTTGCGAACCGAAAACGGCCAATTCACTAATCGACGTGTCAGGGTAGGAGGTCTATCATCCTCCGAAAGTATCGCGGACCCCCCGCTCCAAGAACCCCACTGACACCACTTGCCCCTCCACGCAGGTCGGGCCTGACAGCGGCAGCCGACGGAACACCCAAGGAATTTTGTCTCAAGGATCGTGCCTGTAACATGCTGCCAGCCCCGCCGGCTCCGCGCTCGCCTCCAGGGCGAGCGCACGAAGAGACAATAATCCAACAACCGAACCCAAATCCGCCGGCCCCCTTGCGGGGCCACCAGGCTGTAGGCCGGGAATTCGCAGCTTCCTGTACCAGTTGCAGTTTCCAGTTTCCGCTGTTACAGTTCTGCTTCTTGCTGCTTAATGATCCTTGTTGACTTCTTGCTGCTTACTGTTCCTTGTTTCCTTGTTGATGGACCGCGCGAGGGGGGGAGGCCCAAAACGGGCACTTTTACCACGGCCAACAAGGGTTCTCAGAATTTCTGGGGGGGTACAAACTGACACCCCTCACGCAGATCGGCAGGGTCAGGGTGCAAAAACACAGGGGATTTGCCACATGTTTGAAATTCGATGGCACCCCTCACGCAGATCGGCGGGGTCAGAGTCCAAAAACATTATGGATTTGCAACATTTCTAAAATTTGCTGGCGCCCATCATGCAGATCGGCGGGGTCAGGGTCCAAAAACACTAGGGATTTGCCACATTCCTGAAATATGCTGACACCCCTCACGCAGGTCGGCGGGGTCAGGGTCCAAAAACACTGGGGATTTGCCACATGTTTGAAATTTGCTGGCACCCTTCACGCAGATCGGCGGGGTCAGGGTCCAAAAACACACGGGACTTGTACTTCTGAAATTCTGTAGCACCCCTCACGCAGATCGGCGGGGTCAGGGTCCAAAAACACAAATGATCTGTCACATTTCTGAAATTCGGTGGCACCCCAACCCAACCCGACAACCCCGAACCCCACCTCCCCCGCGCACCAACCGACCCCACCACCCACACCCAACCCAAGCCACCCCCCCACCCCCTCTGCCCCACACCCCCCCAGCCCGCCCCCCCCCAGTCCTCAGCACCCAACCACCTCCCCCACCCCCCAAACCCGGCTTGCACACAGGTCGGCGGGGTCAGGGTCCAAACACACTGGGGATTTTTCACATTTCTGAAATTCGGTGGCACCACTCACGCAGATCGGCGGGGTCAGGGTCCAAAAACACTTGGGATTTGCCACATTTCGAAGATTCGGCGGCACCCCTCAGGCAGACCGGCAGGGTCAGGGTCCAAAAAACACAAGGGACGTGCCACATTCCTGAAAGTCGGCGGCACCCCACACGCAGATCCGTAGGGTCAGGGTCCAAAAGCACAAGGGATTTGCTACATTTCTGAAAGTCGGCGGCACCCCTAACGCAGATCCGTAGGGTCAGGGTCGAAAATCAAAGAGGTCGCGACACTGCTTCACGGCGGCGCCCAGACCTCATGATTTGGCTCTTGCATCTCCCATGATCCGAGACAGGGGGCCAGCGGCATGGGGCGAAGCCCTCACGGATAAAACTCCCCAATCCTACCAGGCAGCTCCTCCTCCCAGAAGTCGCCCTTCCTGCATGGCCTGCGGCCCGAGCCAGGGCCCCCCACTGACTACCTACCAGACCACCCCAACCCAACCCGAAGACCCGAATTTCGGGTTGGGGGGGGTATGGGCTCCACATGTGTTTTTTCGATGCTCCCCGACCCCCCCCCACTGGAAATGGAGGGCAAATTGAGGCCTTCGGGTTGGGTTGGGGTGGTTTGGTAGGTGGTGACCCACGAAGCCGAGGCCTGCCGAAGACCCTGCGCCGTGCTGACGCACCGGCACGGCGGTGGGAGGGCACGCGGGGAGGAGAAGACGCGCTCGGGCCACGCCGGGGAACCACGCCTGCTCGGCGCGGTAGAAGGACAGCACGGCCTCCCGGTGCGCGCCGACCGCGGGCCCCGTCAGCGCAGCCACGGCGCCAGTCAGCGCGAGCTCGGAGATGTAGAGGCCTGCGCCGGGCGCGGGCGCGGGCGCGGGATCTGCAGAAACGGCGGCGAGGGCCGACCGCGGTGCGCGGGGGTCGCCACTTGGGGTGCGGCGGCTGCGGCGGGCCCGCAAGGGTGAGGTTCGCAGGTGGTCTGGAACATTGGCTGCTGGTCGACTGGACGAGTCAGACCGAGCGGCGCGACGATCAAGTATTGTTTGCAAACCTCGAGCCTTCGCGGAACCGGGGCAGGAGCTTGATTGGAACGAGGCCATGGTCGCATGATGCATGATGCTGCCTGCACGCTGCTGCTAACAGTTTGGGTTGCGCTACCATTATGGAAATCGAACAGTGCAGCTCGACCCTCGCACCCTTCTTTTTTCAGAGAAGACGGATGTGCTGCTGAAGCTACACTCGCTAGCCCAGACGCTGCCGAGAGCGGGATGCTGTAATGCGTGTTGCTCGTTCTTGTAATGGCGTGTAGACCAATCTGTGGGATCTCCTCCGGAGGGGGATCGACATTGTCCGATGTGTTTTTGGCTCCGTTTGGGCCTCGTCTGAAGGCCTCGAGACGACCCTGCCACCAATACTCTGCTATCTGCGAACCGTGTCAGGGTTGTGCATGCATGTTAGCAGCAAAGCCACCTTGCGCATGCCAGCAGCCATGAGAAATTCACTCGGGGGTCAATTCAGTGGCGATGTGGAGGAACTGAGATTCTCACCCCCAGGGGGGGAGAAGCAACTCGACTTTCTCCCGCACGCCTTTCATGATTTTGAAATTCGGTCGACATCTTCCCGAACGCCGCCTTGAGCCCCAAAACCCAAACCTCGGACGTCGTGCCCTTCAAGTGCACAAGCGATGGGCGCAAGGCACATAAAACAAACCAACTTGCGGGTACCGTTGGGCAGAGGAAGCAAACAAAAACAGGATGAGCGTGCCCAACAACGAAAATCGCAAAGGTCCTTCCAAGGATCATCCTTGACGCGTTGACCGTCCCCCGCCCTGCGCCCCGAGGCATGTTTTCACGGCCCCGGGGGCCAAGCTATAGTCGGGGCGTTGACCTAAGGAACCCTAAATAAGGAACGAGGCCCCTTTTTCCCACTAGTGCAACCTCGATTTCCCATGGAAAACCTCAGAAGAACCCGAGGCAAACTTTGAAACAATCAAGGAACACCGAGCCCCCCAACGAAAAGGGTTCCTTCTTCAGCGCCCCGACTGTAGGGCCCCCCCGAGGCCGAAGACTGCCAGAAACCTCCCGTCGTGACTTTGCTGCCTGGGCTCCTCCTCGGCCCTCGGGCATCGGGAGACCCCGACGCGCATCGAGGCGGCCGCCGCCCCCCCCCGTGCGGCGGAGGGGCCTCCCGCGAAGGGCAAGCCGCTGGACAGCTCCCTGACCGACGGCGCGCGAGAAGGCGCCCCTCCCCCCCCCCTCCTCGTCCTCCTCACTCCCCCCTCCCTCCCTTCCTCCCTCCGCTCCTCTCCACTCCCCCCTCCACCTCCTCCTCCCCCTCCTCGTCCTCCTCGCTCCCCCCCCCTCCCTCCCTCCCTCCGCTCCTCTCCACTCCCCCCTCCACCTCCTCCACCTCCGCAGCCGTTTTGGCGCACGCGGCCGTGGCTCCACCAGGGAGGGGCCGGCCCAAACCTGCCTGCCTCTGAGGCCTGCGAGGCGGCTGCGTCCACACCGCCCCCTCCGGCAGAACCCCCGAGCGCCGCTGGGCTTCTCCTCTCATGTTGCTGCATGCCCCGGCCATGTACCTACCGTGCGCTGCATGCCAGCATCGGCAGCACTGCTTCGTGCCTCCGTCTGCCGTGCAGAGGGCCGGTCAGCGCATAGAGGCCCCCGACCAGCTGCAGCAGCAAAACGGCGTAGAGCAGCCGCGCCGGCAGCCACGCGCTGCCCCGCCGCAGTTCGCAAGGCACCTGCCCGCAGATAGCTTCTGAGAGCCGTACCGTCCGGGTTTGGCGCCTGAGCCGCGCGGCAATGTTCACGCCAGCAGCGGTTCAATCTGATCTCTTTGGGTAAAGCTCGAATTGCCAACAGCATATATACTTTGGTGAAGGGGCCCTGGGACACACAAATAAATACACACAAATAAAAAGATGCCCCATATTTTCCCATATTTCCTTGGTGTTTGTCTTCCCCCCGCTTCCAATATTTTCCCATATTTTCCTGGGAATCGACGATTCATTGTGTCTGGTGTTTCTTCCCCTCCTGATTTGGCTTAGACCCACTCTGGCCTGCGAGCCGCAGCCCCTGCCCCGGACCGAAAGGAAAACAAACCTCTGCGGACCGCGCCTGACCAATTTCGCGGGCGGGCGCGTGCAAGGCGACGGCGCTGCAGTGCAGAGAGGAGGAAAAGAATGAACATCAGATTTGTTGCTAGGAGCTGCAGGCAGCACAAGCATCAGGAAACCTGAGATTGAACGCCTGGTGAAACAGACACGGATCACGAGGAGATCCGACCACCCACACTGCAAGAGGAGGTTGAGGGTGTAGGGGCACTGTGCCCACTGTACCCTTCTGACTCCGAACCTGGGAGGCAATCCCTTCCTGAGGCGCTGCAGCGAAGTGTACTGCGCCTTGACAAGATCATGTCGACCATATTGGTCGACTTCACACAAACCTACAAGAAAAGCAGGATTCGCAGAGGACGTGCACCGTCCGCATTTACTACAAAAGCAGCACGAGCATTTCTCCCACAAGTCGTGGGAGGTGTGAAGCATCTTGCCAAGAAATCCCTTGCCTTCGAGACGCCTCGGCGGGTGCGATCCACAGACAGTCCTGGAAAAAAGCCGCATCTATGGGCGGAAGCCTTAAAAACCTACCCGAGAACACAACAGCTCCTGGCCTCCTTCCTCCACCTCCACCAGTCAAGGCCTCCAACTCCCCCGCGGGTCCTTCAAACCCAGCTTCTGTAGCAGGAGGCTCTTGGGCGGGACCAGGGGGGGCGGGCGGGGCGGGCAGTCCTCAGGTAGGCCATGACGGATAAGCTGCTGGAGAGCACCAGCTTGCCACACCTGAGACAACGCCAGCCCGCACATATGGCCTGAAAACGGTGGGGGGAGGCTGCCGCTGCCGCCTCGCGCCTCTTAATCCGCCTCTCACCGGGAGGGACCGGCACGGGCTTGACCTTTCGGAGCGGCACGCGAGGACATGAGGCAGCAGCAATTGACAAACTCGCAATGCGGAGAAGAACCGACTCAGCCTTGGCGGCGAGGTCGAGAGCCCTCTTGCAAACATCAGGGGCGATCTGGCAAAGCTCGCACCTAGAGTCCGCAAGGCCGTCCGCTACTGAGTTGGTGAAGATAGCCCCAGTGGGGGCACCTGCAGCCAGCCTCTGGAACTTAGCCTCATCTTCGGCCAAGTGGGACGGCACATCCTGCAGCTCAAAACTGCCGGAACGCACGTGCAGGAGAGCATGCAGCTCACGCCGCAAATCCGCGCGCTCTAACTAAAAGCAGGGGTGTCTCCCTTTGCTGAGGGATCGAACATGATTGATGTGATCACACCAGATGAAAAGGTCCGCTGAATGATCGACAGCCCTAACGTACTTGACAATAGCACACAACTCGGCCCTCGGCACAGACTGCTTAGGGCTGTCGACCACACCGGTGCACCCCGAGCCCCAACCTAGGCCATCAAGACCTTCAGGATCCAGGCGCGCAAAGGCCCAAGACACCCGCCGAAGAAGTGAGCTCTTTGACCAAGTGCCCCCTGAGCCATCGACCCCGTAAATGCCCGGGAGGTGCGTGCCCTCAGGCCGTCCAATCCAGACATGGTCCTTGGACGAGGGAGGAGGGGGGAGCTCCAACCAAGCAAGGGGGGCCAGTCCACGGCGCCAGAACACTGGGCAACTACCAACGTCCTGGAGGGCTTCGGGGATCAGCTGGTTGGTGGCCACGACTTCCAGCGGGGGGAGCTGACTGCCTACTTGCGTGTTGCACTGGCAGCGTGTTGCACTGGCAGCTCCAAAATCTACGGGAGCTGGTCTCCCGAGCCGCCTTGCACCTCTGGCAGTCCGGATCCGAGCGGTAGCCTGCTTCGAACCTACGCTGCTCAGTCCAATAGCCTCCACAGGCAATGAGACGGACCATGCTCGCCATCGCGCGGTTATCATCGGCTTCCAGCCTGGAGGCAAGGGGGACTACATGCTGCCACCAGACTCCAGCTTCATTGCCAGCTCCATCAAGGTGCTTCGCCGCTCGCTCCCAAATCGAAGCTTCCACAGAGGCCTCCCAAGCATCAAGAAGGCAGGAGGGGGGAGCAAGGCCGGCATCTTGAAGGGCCCATTCGTCACCGCTGGGCTCCACCAAGCTCGTGATCGACGGGCGGCTCCAGCCGAGGTCCAAAATTGAGGCTTGAAAAGCACCTAGGGCCCCCCGAACTAAATTCCAGCCTTTTTTCACGCGCTCGAGAGATTCCGACCGCGCCGCATCGACGCGTGCAGCTAGCTCAGGGGACCGAACAACTCTAGCGAACCAAGCTCCGACGAGACGCCTGATGTACATTATAGCAGGGTCACGGCTAGAGCCCAGACTGATTCGAATAGCCGCGGTGGCGCAAGAGCCTCTCTGCGGGCACTCACTGCTCAGCCGCGCCTGTCCACGGAGCTGCTTGGCCATGCCGGGGGCCAGCCCATGGACTTCAGGGGCCCAGACAGCTTTCGGAAAAGCGCTGGAAAGGCACAGCTTCGAGGACTTAGGAAAGGTCCTAACTGGGCCAGAAATCTTGAAAGCCGCGCGCCGGCCCTTCCAAAATCTTGCTTTCCTGGTCATGACCGACCTGGAGGCGCCCATGGTCGCGTCGTTGCCCAAATCACGGGCCGCGGTGGCCTGGCCTAGCCGATGAGCTTCTCCCCCAGCTTCCTCCGCCCAGCCGGCTAGCTTGTGGCGGAGGTTGGCCGAGGAGGCCATCAAATAACACATCGAAAGCGCTAGCGCGCACTTACGTCTGCGAAGGCCCTGAAGAAGAGCACGCAAGACTATCGGAAAGGAAATGCCAAAATCGAATATTCCGAACCAGGGAGGTGGAAAGAGATGTCGCCCACCCATTCCCGGGGCCTGAGCCCTGGAGCCGAATTGTTAGTAGCCTCCAAAGGCTCATATAAATACGACCGGGCCCGGGAGACCGCCTGGCCACGCCCCGCCAAGATCCCACCACCAGGAGGATGTCCTGGGTGGACCCGCTGCTGGAGCGTCAACATCCTGGGCCCAAGATGCACATCCAGGGTCAGGACGAGGAGGCGGAAAGGATAGTGGAGGTCGCGGGAAGCTTGGGCGAGGTCAGGCAAACAGACCAGGTCATAGAACTTGCGCGTATCAAGCAAGCCCCCGGCAAGACAGAAACCTCCTAGGAGAACCAACTCGGTCTCCAGTTCATCGAGCCAGCCCGCATGTTCGGCCGACGAGCCCAGTCTTGCCCCAGGACCCGTGGGCTTCGTGATCCCAAGCTCCAGTCACAGGCTTGCGAATCCTACGCAGTATCACGTAACAAAAATTAAGGAGGGCAATAGGGCGCAAGCCTCCGTCCTCCTTGTCCAGGAGGGCAATAAGATTAAACAGTTCGTGGAAAGGGTAAGATCACTTCATGATCGATTCTAGTCAGAAGGATGGCCAAGGCAAGAATGGCCTCAGGGGGCGCATCCTTGACCAGACGCGGTGGCATCCCATCAGCTCCCTTGCCGCGACGGTCAGGCATCGTCTTAGGAGCTGCTAGCACCTGCTGGGGCGAGATGGGGTCGGACAAAGGAGACGCGCGAGCAGCTACCCTCCAGGTAGCCAGAGCTTCCAAAGCCTCCTTCCGAGAGTGCCTACTCCAAATCTTGCCCCAGGCACCCGACTCGACTTCCAGCATCTCACTGGCCGCGGCAGCCGGGCGACCTTGAAAATGGGTTCCGTTTTCGGCACCTCAGGGCCCACGTTGGGCTTGAGCAGCCGATGGGCCGCCGACGCTGACCCCGCAAGGGCCTCAGACAGCCAGACTTTCCAACGGGCCCGCGCTTCCGAAGCGGCTCGCCTGGCCGCCTTATTAGCCCGCTCCTAGGCGCCCTCCTGGAGTTGCTGAAAACTCGGAGGGTCCAGGGTAGAAATAATTAGATGTGAGCCATGTGGCCCACCTTCCCAAGGCGGCCGCCTCCCCGGCGCCCCCCGGATCGAGGCCTCGGGGGGGGGTCAGGTCACGAAGCCCCCATCACCAGAACCCAAAACTTGCCATAATGCTTCTGTAGGGGGGCAGCCGCTCCATTGGGATCACAATCGGGATCGACCAGCCGCATTGAATGAAGAAGCTGGGCTGAAACAGCCGCCAAGAAACGCGCGCGCCAGTCGGCCAAAGGGGGCCCTTCGGAACTCTTGGAAACGATCGGCACCCAACGGACGCGAGGCTGCTGACAGCGGCCGACGCACCGTTCCCAATCAGCGCCAGGGATGCCCCTTTTGCCACAATGCACTAGCTTAGCTCAAGCGCCAAGGCCCATTCACTGAGCTCTTGGCCGAGCTGCAAGGATACCTTCGGAGTATCGTGCTGTGCCAAGGCATCCCTGGCAGCATTAAAATGTGACTGAAAACGGGCCGGCCTCTCACGCCGCAGAAGCCTGGCCTGCTCCCGCGCGTCGCCCCAGCCCAAGGCCGCAACGTCCAGGGCGCGGGGAACGACCAGCTTCCAGCCACGAATGGATCGAGGGCGCGATGCAATCCAATACTGCAGCGCCAAGTGCGCGCCCCAAGGAGCACTCTGGTCCACGCCGACGAACTTGACAGCCTGGGCGAAGCCCGCATTCACGAGGGAATAGTCGATCTTACTCGCGGCTCCTCGCCCCCCAGTGCATGTTACAGAGACGTCTGGGCTGGGCGCCTCGACCAACCCGAGCTCCTTCGTCAAGCCCGTGGACGCGAGGTCGGAAATTCCAATCTGCCAGTCGCCCACCAGCAGAAGCGACCCCGCAACCTGCGAGAGCCTGGAGCCAATCTCGGACAAGAGGCTAAGGTTGCGAGACACACATGTAGACCTCACACCTGAGATCAAGTAGATGGGGGCGATCGTCAAGGTCACATGCTTGAGCCTGACCGTGGCGACACACCACCTCGCACACCTGCTGGAGTGCCAACGGCCCGAGGCCTCCAAGAACAGAGAAGACAGTCCAAGGTTCCTCTTAGCCAAAATCAAAACTCCTGCACTGGAGTCGTCAGCTTCCGTGGCGTCGGCCTCTCCACCAACCGAGCACCAGCCGAGTTTGCCCACGCACTTGAGCATGTCACGAAATTTGGAGTCACGAGTGCGCGTCTCCACGAACACCGCGATGTCCGCACGACATTCCTTCAACCACTTCTCAGCCTGGGGACCCCGCGCACTGATGTTGCCATAAACGAGGGCAAGCCCGTCAGGAACAGGCCCCTTTGGCAGCAGCAGCAGCTCCTTCGACCTTGGCCTCAGCACTGGCCGCCCTGGCCTTGGCAGCCTCAAGTGCAGCGGCCTTGCGCTTACCAGAGGCTGGCACCGGCACTCTGCGCGCCTCGCCCGCACTCTCCTGCGACGCCGGTGGGGCGCCCGCCGCAGGGGCGGGTCCGCCGCCTGCCGCTGCCTGCCCAGAGGAGGCTGGCGCAGCAGGGGCAAACAAAAATAACAAAATAAAAAAGAAAAACAAAATAAAAAAAAAAAAATAAAAAAAAGAACTGTCCAAAAAGAAAAACAAAAAAAACAAAATTAAAACATAAAAGAGAAAAAAGAAATAAATAAAAAGCATAAAAACGACAAAGAAAAACAACAAAAGAAAACTAACAAACAAAAAAAAGAAGAAACAAAAAAACAAAACAAGGAAAAAAGAAAAAAACAAAAAAAGACAAACACACAACAAAAGAAATCAAAAAGCAAAAAAAAAAAAAAAAACAAAAGAAAGCAGAAAGAAAAAGAAGCGAAAAAATACTAAAAGAAAAAAGGCAAAAAAAAAAAAAACAGGAAAAAAAGAAAAAAAAAAAACGGAAGACGACCAAAATAAAAAAGAAGGCAAAAAAAGCCGGTGGGGCAGCCTCGCCTGCCTCTCCGACCTTACGCTTCTTAGATAACATCTCAGTCTTCTTCTTATATTATGCTTGGGCCTTCCTGGCCTCCTCTTGGATGCTCTCGAAGGCCTGCTTGAGGAGTTTGGCGCAGTTCTGCTTGTGCGAGGTGACCCAACTCTCGAACTGCTCGCGATCATGGTCCGAGAACTCTGGGCCAGAGAGGTCCACCGCCTCCCCAACATCGAGCTCCAAGGACTCGGGGTCAGCGAGCAAGGCCTCGATGTGGACCACCGACTTGCTCGAGGCGGTAGGCGCCTTCTCCTCAAAGCCTGCAGGGAGCACCTTCTTGGCGTGGCGCTTGGTGGCATCCTCCAGGTCACGCTGAGCCTGCCGCTCCTTGCGGAAACATTCGTCGACCTTCTGCTGGGCCTCCTGGAGGTACTGTTCCGCCTTGAGCTGCTCGTGCAAGGCCTTGTCGAGCGCCTTGTTGGCCCAGCGCTTGGCAGCCTCCGCAGCCGTGATCTCCGACTCCGGCAGGGCTGGCAACTCGGGCGCCTTCGGAGGAACCGACTCGACTTCAGTGTCTTTGAGCAGCGCAGCAGCTTCGTCCGGGGGGAGGAGACCAGCAGCCTTCCTGATGGCCACCGCGCTGGCGTCCTCGACGACGACCACAGGAGATCCTTGACCATTGCCGACTCCGCTGGGTCCGCCAGCGGCAGCGCCTCGCGCGCCCGAGCCTGGCTGCAAAGGCTCACCACACCCAACACAGTAGAGGCGACGTGCAAGAAGACGGTCATAAGTCCAATGGCCGCAAGTGCACACTGTGTAGGGGGAGTTTTTCTTCTTCTTCTTCTTAGATTTGCCCGCCTTGTTACCCGCTGCCGCGACTGACCAGGAGTCTGCCCGACCCCCCGAAACTGCACCACCTGCGGACTGGGGAGGCTGCTTCCACCACGGAGCTGGCGCCATGGCGGGCACTGATGGCCCTCGCAGGGCTTCGTAGGACGAGCGCACAAGCCTGGGACGCCTTGGCAGGCTGACCCAGGCGGACGTGAAATGATTGCTGAAGCGCACGGGGGCTTTGAGCCCAACCTGCGGGGCTCTCAGCCCCCTTAGAGCCCAAGCGAGTTCTAAAAGAGCCTTGAGCCAAAATGGCTACGGAAAAAAAGGAAAAGAAGGTGGAGGAGGAGGAGGAGAAGAAAAAAGAGGAGTGTGAGGAAGAATAGGAGGAGGAGCAGGAGGAGGAGGAGGAGGAGGAGGAGGAGGAGGAGGAGGAGGAGGAACAGGAAAACACAACGAAAGATGGGCCTCAAATCGCGGAGAAGCTGGCACACCCAGGATCGACTGGCTGCCGCTCGTGGGCGCCGGCTGGGGCGGACACAGGCCCTGCGCCCCGGGGGAAAGAGAAAGCAAGCACAGCGGAGCATGGAGGAGGACAGGGGGACGGGCCCGAAACCGGAATACCTATATCTATGTATATATATATACATATATATATATATATATATATATATATATACATACGTAGTATATATATATATATATATATATATATATATATACGTACGTATAAATTCGCACAGAAACGAATGCCCGGTTCGCGGCTGCCGACATGCAGTGGGATTGGGATACCCCGTAGAGACACGCCCACACGGCCAGGCCCAGAACTGCAACGCAGCAGAAGAAACGGGAGAGCAACGACGAGGGGGAAACGGAGCGAGAGGAGAAGCAAACGCAAATGTGGCAACGGCAGCCCCGACCGCGAAGCCGACGAGTCCAAGAGCGGACCAGCGGCCTTTTGGCCCAGATGGAAGGGCGGGAAACGAGCGTAAAAAGGTGTCCAAGCTCCCACCTACCTCCGACGCCTGCGCAAGCGGAAGGGGCGGCGCGGCGCGTGTACTGACGAAGTTGAGCGGGGCGTTCGCGCGCGGCGGCGCGGTCCCCGACAGGAGGCTCGACGCGAACGAAGCGGCGGCGGCATCCGCGGCAGTATGCGAATGAAGAAAAAGAAAAGGATGGAAACGCATACAGGTGAAACGCGAAGGCGGGGCTGCTGTGGGCATCCGGACGATGCTGGCCGAAGGGGCGCGAGGGAAGGGAACGAGACATGCTTCGGGGAACCTAAAAATGACATGAACATAAAACCTTGGAGGTCCGCTCGGATTTCTCGGATCGGCGCTGGGACCCCCCGGCGGCGCCTCCGGCGCCGCCCCTGGCGCGCTCCGCGCGCCGCGCCGATCCGAGAAATCCGCGCGGACCTCCGAGTTTTTATGTTTATGCCATTTTTTGTTCCCCTACTGCTGGGCACGGTTGGCCGCACAAGCGCTGCTACAGGTAGCACCGCATGGCAGACCGGCGAGCGACCGGGGGAGCCACGGAGGGCGGGACGGCGACGAGAACGGGGGAGGGCGACGAGGCGGAGACGACAGAGGCACAGAGAACGGGGCCGGGGCGAGCGAGGACAGAGCAGAAGCCGCGGCGGGGGGAAGGGAGGGGAGGGACGGCAAGGAGCAGCCCGCGCGCACCAGCAGCCCTCTGGAGCGGCGGGCAGCGGGCGAGGCTCGGCTGCCGGGAAGAAGCCGGCGGCCGGAGGGCCCACGAGCTGCCGGGCGGAGGAAGCCCTGGGGCGGGGCGCGAGGCAAGGGGCGAGCGAAGGCCAGGGGCGCCGCCGCACGGGGGCCGGCGACGGGCTCGCGAGCGGGGACCAGCGCAGACGGCGGCCCGAGCGGCGGGGCAGAGCACCGCAGGTGGCAGGCCGTCGGGCGCGCACGTGCGCGCAGGGCGGCCAGGCCGGCGGGGCCGCGGGTCGCATCTGGCGAGGAGCTGGCCGCGCCCGCGCAGAGGGAGATCCCAGAGCTCGACGGGCGCCGCAGCCAGCAGTGCCCCGCGGGACACGCAGGTCGTGGCGGCAAGCTGGCTCGAGGAGAACCCGTGCACCGCCAATCCTGGCCCTCCGCCAGGCGCGGCTTCCGGCAACGACGCGGCGAACGACGATGGCGCAGCCGAGGCTCAGGAGCACCCGCCCACCGCCGATCCCGACGATCCAGCGTTAACGCGGCACGCGACGAAGACGCGGCAGACGGCGAAGCCGCAGTCGGGCTCGAGGCGCAGTCGCTAACGAAGAGCCGACCCGGGCCGCTCATGCGGCGAGGCATGCGGCCAAGACGCGGCAGGCGAAAGAGCGACCAGGGGGCTCCAGGAGCACCCAACTCGCGCCGATCCCGACCCAGACTCCACCATTCCTCCTCCTCCTCCTCCTCCTCCTCCTCCTCCTCCTCCTCCTCCTCCTCCTCCTCCTCCTCCTCCTCCTCCCTCGCTCCGCCGACCACCGAGGTGATCTCCTCGAGTGAACCGATGCGCTCAGGTGCAGCGACGGCAGTGGCGGTGGTGCGCGGCGCCAGGTCCATCCTCGCAGGGTCGTCGTCGTCCGAGGAGTCACTGAGTTCGGGGATCAGCTGCGGGGAAAGCCGCTGGGGGGCCAGAGATCGACCGCGGGGGCGCAGCAGCGGGCGCGCCGACCGCTGAGCCATGGTTGGAAGAGTCGCCATCGCCATCGCTCGCCGAGCTCGACGGCAAGCTGGAGAAGGTCTCCGACAACATGGCGTGCCCGGCGGAGCCCCACCACTCACAGCTCGGGCGCCCCTCATTCATTTCCGAGCCCGGAAGGTCTCGCCAAGGTCGTCGGCCCAACACCTGCCGTCGCACGGCTGCTTGTCAGATCCCACGGTCACGGCCGCTCCGACAGCTGCTTCGCGATGCTGCACGCGGCGCGCACGGCTGCCATCATCGGAAGTAGACCCGGCGAAGGGGGCGCCAGGCCCCGGCCCTCCGACAGCGGAGGCGAGCTGGGTCGGGCAAGCTCAACGCGATGTGCAGCGCGAAGCGGATGGCACCGAGGGCAGCGGCGCAACGGGTCGGACGCCTCGACGCATCCAAACGCACAACACCGAAGGCCAGCAGGGCGAATGATCCTCGCGGACGTCATCTAGCCGACCGCCCTCCGCCCAGGCACGGACGGTCGCCCGCGACAGAGAAGGGGTGCGACGGCGGATAGTCGCCGCGGCCCAAACCGATCCACTCATGCTTCCCCAGGTGCCTGCCCGCAAACGTTCGCAATCCGAAAATAAGCAGCATGGGAAAGAGAGGGCAATTAGAAGACGCAATAACACAAAGAGCACGAGGAGCCGCGCGTCGACGTCGCGCCCGGCGCGTCACAGCCACGCGGATCCCCCCGACAGCTGCCGCCGCCGTGGCCGGCTGAACGCGAGCGCGAAGAGGCCCGGGACGCCCGCGCCCGGCACCGGCATCGGCGAGAATCTCAGCACCGGCAGGCGACTTCCACATGTGAAAGGCAGGGCCAACCCGAGGGGGCCAGCGTTCGCCGGTCGGAACGGGCACGGCCAAAAGATCTGAGGCGCCGAAGAACAGCGGCGTGCTTTACTTCGGGCATGACCCCTACAGGGGGATTTTCGACGAAAAAAATACCCCCCAAATGCCCCAAAAAGGTAAAACAATAATCGAAAAATAG